AGTAGTGTAGAGTACAGTAGAGTAGTGTAGAGTAGAGTAGAGTAGAGTAAAGCAGAGTAGAGTAGAGTAACGTGAAGAGTAGAATAGAGTCGAGTAGAGTGGAGTAAAGCAGAGTAGAGTAGAGTAGAGTAAAGTAGAGTAGAGTAGAGTAGAGTGGAGAGTAGTGTAGAGTAGAGTAGAGTAAAGCAGAGTAGAGTAGAGTAGAGTAGAGTAGAGTAGAGTAGAGTGGAGAGTAGTGTAGAGTAGAGTAGAGTAGAGTAAAGCAGAGTAGAGTAGAGTAGAGTGTAGAGTCGAATAGAGTAGATTAGAGTAAAGTGTAGAGTAGAATAGTGTCGAGTCGAGTCGAGTCGAGTCGAGTAGAGTAAAGCAGAGTAGAATAGAGTAGAGTAAAGCAGAGTAAAGTAGAGTAGAGTAGAGTAAAGCAGAGTAGAATAGAGTAGAGTAAAGCAGAGTAGAGTAGAGTAGAGTAGAGTAAAGTAGAGTAGAGTAGAGAAGAGTAGAGAGTAGAGTAGAGTAGAGTAGAGTAGAGTAGAGAAGAGAAGAGTGGAGAGTAGAGTAGAGTAGAGTAGAGAGTAGTGTAGAGTAGAGTAGAGTAGAGTAGAGAAGAGAAGAGTAGAGTAGAGTAGAGTAGAGTAGAGTAGAGTAGAGAGTAGTGTAGAGTAGAGTAAAGCAGAGTAGAGTAGAGTAGAGTAAAGTAGAGTAGAGAGTAGTGTAGAGTAGAGTAGAGTAGAGTAAAGTGTAGAGTAAAATAGTGTCGAGTCGAGTCGAGTAGAGAGTAGTGTAGAGTACAGTAGAGTAGTGTAGAGTAGAGTAGAGTAGAGTAAAGCAGAATAGAGTAGAGTAAAGTGAAGAGTAGAATAGAGTCGAGTAGAGTGGAGTAAAGCAAAGTAGAGTAGAGTAGAGTAGAGTGGAGAGTAGTGTAGAGTAGAGTAGAGTAGAGTAAAGCAGAGTAGAGTAGAGTAGAGTAAAGTAGAGTAGAGTAGAGTGGAGAGTAGTGTAGAGTAGAGTAGAGTAGAGTAAAGCAGAGTAGAGTAGAGTAGAGTGTAGAGTCGAATAGAGTAGATTAGAGTAGAGTAAAGTGTAGAGTAGAATAGTGTCGAGTCGAGTCGAGTCGAGTCGAGTAGAGTAAAGCAGAGTAGAATAGAGTAGAGTAAAGCAGAGTAAAGTAGAGTAGAGTAGAGTAAAGCAGAGTAGAATAGAGTAGAGTAAAGCAGAGTAGAGTAGAGTAGAGTAGTGTAAAGTAGAGTAGAGTAGAGAAGAGTAGAGAGTAGAGTAGAGTAGAGTAGAGTAGAGTAGAGCAGAGAAGAGTAGAGAATAGAGTAGAGTAAAGCAGAGTAGAGTAGAGTAGAGTAGTGTAAAGTAGAGTAGAGTAGAGAAGAGTAGAGAGTAGTGTAGAGTAGAGTAGAGTAGAGTAAAGTAGAGTAGAGAGTAGTGTAGAGTAGAGTAAAGCAGAGTAGAGTAGAGTAGAGTAAAGTAGAGTAGAGAGTAGTGTAGAGTAGAGTAAAGCAGAGTAGAGTAGAGTAGAGTAAAGTAGAGTAGAGAGTAGTGTAGAGTAGAGTAAAGCAGAGTAGAGTAGAGTAGAGTAAAGTAGAGTAGAGTTTAGTGTAGAGTAGAGTAAGCAGAGTAGAGTAGAGTGGAGTAGAGTAGTAGAGTAGAGTAGAGTAGAGTAGAGTAGAGTAGAGTAGAGTAGAGTAGGGTAGAGTAGAGTAGAGTAGAGTAGGCAGAGTAGAGTAGAGTAGAGTAGGGTAGAGTAGAGTAGAGTAGAGTAGGGCAGAGTAGAGTAGAGTAGAGTAGAGTAGAGTAGAGTAGAGTAGAGTAGGGTAGAGTAGAGTAGAGTAGAGTAGGGCAGAGTAGAGTAGAGTAGAGTAGGGCAGAGTAGAGTAGAGTAGAGTAGAGTAGGAGTAGAGTAGAGTAGAGTAGAGTAGAGTAGAGTAGAGTAGAGTAGAGTAGAGTAGAGTAGAGTAGAGTAGAGTAGAGTAGAGTAGAGTAGGAGTAGAGTAGAGTAGAGTAGAGTAGAGTAGAGTAGAGTAGAGTAGAGTAGGCAGAGTAGAGTAGAGTAGAGTAGAGTAGAGTAGAGTAGAGTAGAGTAGAGTAGAGTAGGGCAGAGTAGAGTAGAGTAGAGTAGAGTAGAGTAGAGTAGAGAGAGAGAGACCAGAGAGAGAGACCAGAGAGAGAGACCAGAGAGAGAGACCAGAGAGAGAGACCAGAGAGAGAGACCAGAGAGAGAGACCAGAGAGAGAGACCAGAGAGAGAGACCAGAGAGAGAGACCAGAGAGAGAGACCAGAGAGAGAGACCAGAGACCAGAGAGAGACCAGAGGGAGACCAGAGATAGACCAGAGATAGACCAGAGAGAGACCAGAGAGAGACCAGAGAGGGAGAGAGACCAGAGAGAGACCAGAGAGAGATCAGAAAGAGAGACCAGAAAGAGAGACCAGAAAGAGAGACCAGGGAGAGAGACCAGGGAGAGAGACCAGAGAGAGAGACCAGAGAGAGAGACCAGAGAGAGACCAGAGAGGGAGAAGGAGAGAGACCAGAGAGAGACCAGAGAGAGACCAGAAAGAGAGACCAGGGAGAGAGACCAGGAGAGAGACCAGGAGAGAGACCAGGGAGAGAGACCAGACAGAGACCAGAGAGACCAGAGAGAAACCAAAGAGACAGAGAGACCAGAGGGAGACAGATTTAATTCAGTCCAGTTTTAGACCTTCTGTAGTTGCTTTAGTCTAGAGAGAGACACCAGAAAGAGAGGGAGAGTCCAGAGAGAGACCAGAGAGAGAGACCAGAGAGAGAGACCAGAGGGAGAGTCCAGAGAGAGACCAGAGAGAGAGACCAGAGAGAGAGACCAGAGAGAGAGACCAGAGAGAGAGACCAGAGAGAGAGACCAGAGAGAGAGACCAGAGAGAGAGACCAGAGAGAGAGACCAGAGAGAGAGACCAGAGAGAGAGACCAGAGAGAGAGACCAGAGAGGGAGACCAGAGAGGGAGACCAGAGAGAGAGACCAGAGATAGACCAGAGAGAGACCAGAGAGAGACCAGAGAGGGAGAAGGAGAGAGACCAGAGAGAGACCAGAGAGAGATCAGAAAGAGAGACCAGAAAGAGAGACCAGAAAGAGAGACCAGGGAGAGAGACCAGGGAGAGAGACCAGAGAGAGAGACCAGAGAGAGAGACCAGAGAGAGACCAGAGAGAGAGGGAGAGACCAGTGAGTGACCAGAAAGAGAGAGACCAGAGAGAAACCAAAGCGACAGAGAGACCAGAGGGAGACCAGAGGGAGACCAGAGGGAGACCAGAGGGAGACCAGAGAGAGAGACCAGAGAGAGACCAGAGAGAGACCAGAGGGAGACCAGAGAGAGACCAGAGAGAGACCAGAGAGAGACCAGAGAGAGACCAGAGAGAGACCAGAGGGAGACCAGAGGGAGACCAGAGGGAGACCAGAGGGAGACCAGAGGGAGACCAGAGAGAGACCAGAGAGAGACCAGAGAGAGACCAGAGAGAGACCAGAGAGAGACCAGAGAGAGACCAGAGAGAGACCAGAGAGAGACCAGAGAGAGACCAGAGAGAGACCAGAGAGAGACCAGAGAGAGACAGAGGAGACCAGAGAGAGACCAGAGAGAGACCAGAGAGAGACCAGAGAGAGACCAGAGAGAGACCAGAGAGAGACCAGAGAGAGACCAGAGAGAGACCAGAGAGAGACCAGAGAGAGACCAGAGAGAGACCAGAGAGAGACCAGAGAGAGACCAGAGAGAGACCAGAGAGAGAGACCAAAGAGACAGAGAGACCAGAGGGAGACAGATTTAATTCAGTCCAGTTTTAGACCTTCTGTAGTTGCTTTAGTCTAGAGAGAGACACCAGAAAGAGAGGGAGAGTCCAGAGAGAGACCAGAGAGAGAGACCAGAGGGAGAGTCCAGAGGGAGAGTCCAGAGAGAGAGACCAGAGAGAGAGACCAGAGAGAGAGACCAGAGAGAGAGACCAGAGAGAGAGACCAGAGAGAGAGACCAGAGAGAGAGACCAGAGAGGGAGACCAGAGAGAGACCAGAGAGAGAGAGGAGAGAGAGAGCAGAGAGAGAGCAGAGAGACACCAGAGAGACACCAGAGAGAGAGACCAGGAGAGAGACCAGGGAGAGAGACCAGAGAGAGAGACCAGAGAGAGAGACCAGAGAGAGACCAGAGAGAGAGGGAGAGACCAGTGAGTGACCAGAAAGAGAGAGACCAAGAGAGAAACCAAAGCGACAGAGAGACCAGAGGGAGACCAGAGGGAGACCAGAGAGAGACCAGAGAGAGACCAGAGAGAGACCAGAGAGAGACCAGAGAGAGACCAGAGAGAGACCAGAGAGAGACCAGAGAGAGACCAGAGAGAGACCAGAGAGAGACCAGAGAGAGACCAGAGAGAGACCAGAGAGAGACCAGAGAGAGAGACCAAAGAGACCAGAGAGAAACCAAAGAGACAGAGAGACCAGAGGGAGACAGATTTAATTCAGTCCAGTTTTAGACCTTCTGTAGTTGCTTTAGTCTAGAGAGAGACACCAGAAAGAGAGGGAGAGTCCAGAGAGAGACCAGAGAGAGAGACCAGAGAGAGAGACCAGAGGGAGAGTCCAGAGAGAGACCAGAGAGAGAGACCAGAGAGAGAGACCAGAGAGAGAGACCAGAGAGAGAGACCAGAGAGAGAGACCAGAGAGAGAGAGCAGAGAGAGAGCAGAGAGAGACCAGAGAGAGAGGAGAGAGAGAGGAGAGAGAGAGCAGAGAGAGAGCAGAGAGAGAGCAGAGAGACACCAGAGAGACACCAGAGAGAGACACCAGAGAGAGAGACCAGAGAGAGAGACCAGAGAGAGACACCAGAGAGACACCAGAGAGAGACACCAGAGAGAGAGACCAGAGAGAGAGACTAGAGAGAAAGAGACTTCCAGTTTTAGACCTTCTGTCGTTGCTTTAGTCCAGTTTAGACCTGCTGTAGTTCTCGTCTCGATCTCACATGTGTCTCGTCTCGCTGCTGCAGTCTGCTGGACCATGTGGTTCGACAGAGACGATCCTTCTGGTCAAGGCGACTGGGAAACTCTTCCTCAACTACGTCAAGAAAACCCCGGAAAGATCTGCCCCAAACCTCTGGAGATCCATGTCCAGACGGTCTCAGGAAACCCAGTGGAGGCCGGCGCCGTCATCTACAAGTAAGAGTTACAGATAGATAGATAATCAGGTGTCCAGCAGCAGTGGGGAAATGTCAGTGTTGCAACCCCAGTTACAAAACAGTAGGAACGAGGAGTACAAAGTGTTACTATGTTGATCTCCATAAAAAAGGACTTCACGCTTCAGAGGGGGGCGGGGACAGGGAGGGGGTGAGCAAGAAAGACAGTTCAAAAAAAGTTCTTAGTAGACCAATCGTAGAATAATACTCTTCCCAAGCTGCAAAAACGTCTCTTTATAACAGCACACTTTAAAATACCTCTCCATTTCTTCTTTGAGAGACAAACTTAAGCGGTAGCAAGGTATGGTCCGAGTTGCCATGGCAACCAAAGCGTCAGTTATACTCAGTTATAACTCGGGTTGTCATGGTAACCTCAGCGCCAGTTACACAAAGCACAAGATAATTGAACCATAACTCTATATTAAAATACAATCTACAAAGCTGTTGCACAATAAAGAAGCAAGAATGAAGTATAAACTCTGTGATGCATTCTTTAACAAAAAAACAGAAGCAAGTTTAAAATCTGGTTTATTCTAGTGCGGTAATATGTAGTTGTATGTTTACATGTGTGCGTGTTAGCAGCCCGAGGGACAGTGGACACATTCTGACATTGTTCAAATTGATGTCAAATTAATTATCGAAATCCTATGTTTTGTGTTTTCAGATCAGACACAACCATTGGATTCGTCTGTAAAAACAAGGACCAGGGGAAGGGTCAGTGTTCGGACTATCGCGTTCGCTTCAGGTGCCCCCACGACTTCTGCCATCCTCCTCAACGTGAGCACCACAACATCCTGGATCAATACTTACTACTGTTTCTACGAATAGTTACTTTTATAGCTACTAATTCAGGGAGCTCCAACCTGTAGCTCGCCAACCCTCTGTCAGAGAGCTCCCCAAAGGACTCAGGATTCGACACATGATTCTAAATGATTTGAGTTATTGTATATCAAAATGAACGTCACATATTATATTATTAGACCAATAAGAGACAAGAAGTGAGAGACACACAGGAAGGCAAGGCAAGTTTATTATACACATACATAGATACATAGATAGATAGATAGATAGATACTTTAAAAATAAAATTTGTATTTCTAAAAAAGATAACATTAGTAATAATCAGCAACAGCCCTTCAGGTCACAGCAGCAGAGGTGGAGTAGCCTCTGGGTGGAGCAGGTCAGGTCACAGCAGCAGAGGTGGAGTAGTCTCTGGGTGGAGCAGGACGGGTCAGAGCAGCAGAGGTGGTGTAGCCTCTGGGTGGAGCAGGACGGGTCACAAGGTGGAGTAGTCTCTGGGTGGAGCAGGACAGGTCACAGCAGCAGAGGTGGTGTAGCCTCTGGGTGGAGCAGGACGGGTCAGAGCAGCAGAGGTGGAGTAGCCTCTGGGTGGAGCAGGACGGGTCACAAGGTGGAGTAGTCTCTTGGTTCGGAGCATTTTCTCTGCTCTGGTCCAAAGTAAAATGCTAAATGCTTCATTCCTCCAGTGGATTTTCATCTGATCCACTTGGTTCGGACCAGGAATCCTCTGCTCTGGTCTGGACCAGTGTAAAACCATGAATCCTCTCTGCTCTGGTCTGGACCAGTGTAAAATGTATAAAGCACAAAATAACAACTGTTTCAGAGCTACTTAGGACCTGCTGCCGTTTTCCAGCGCGTTCAAAAGAAAACGTGAGTTAAAGAACATAAAGTACACATAAAGAGTGAAGATACAGTCCTGCAGCCAGTCTGCAGCTAAACTGTTTTTAACCCAGATTAGAAGATTGTCAGAGAAGAAGCCAGTCCCTGATCTCCCTAGAGGCCCATTCAGTGTATGATTGTTGTGTCTGTGTGCTTGTTGCAGAATGCTGGACGGACTGGTTTGACCACGATGACCCCAAAGGCACTGGAGACTGGGAGGTTGTGTTCGTTCTTCGTAAACATTTTCCAGGTCGGATCTGTGACAGCGCTCTGCAGATCCAGGCCCGGACCACCTCTGGACTCCCCGCTGACTCCGTGGGAAACCAGTTTGCTACGTACGCCGCACTCACAAACTCACAACCAGCTGCTTTTCCACCGTTTATCACTGAGAAAATGATAGAATATGAGGTCATCTTTGCCTCATTTTAAACAATATTTGACATTTAGTTTTTTTTTCAAGAACTATTGTTTCATTTCTCATTCCAAGGGAGACATTTCTTGTATCTTTTTAAAGCACTATCCTTGAGTAGAGCAGAGTGGCTGATGTGTTTCCTGTTGTGTCCAGACTCTCGGCTGCTGTGGGTTTGATCTGTTTGAACAAAGACCAGAGCGAAGGCGTGACGTGCAACGATTTCGAGGTGCGGTTCCAGTGCCCCCTCGACTTCTGCAACAACAACGGTAACAACACAGCACTGGTTATTGTAGATGTGGTCTCTGCCCCTGATGGACCAATGACTCTATGTTTTTGTTATTGTGGTAATTCTTGTGTTTGAACTGTTTTTTATAAGATTGTCTGATCTGTGTTGGTGAATTTACAGCTTTGTAAAGTCCTCCGAGGTTAGCACTGCTCGACTACCAACACTACTGTGATTTAGGGCTACACATGGTCAGGGCCTGGCCTTAACTATCCAGTATAATTTCCTACATGCACGTCTGGGTCTGATCTTAGCCTGGCATTATCCATCAATCATCATATCCTGCATGTAAATGTCTGGGTCTGGTCCCTGTGTTTGCAATTACATCTATTGAATTCCATCCGACCAATCAGCGAGTGCGGAAGGCAGGTGTTGTAGTTAGATGTGGGTGACGTCAAGAGTTTGCGTTGAACGGGCAGGTTGTAGTTTGACAAAGAATGCGATAGTAAAGCAATCCGGTCTGGTTCTATCAAGAAAATGAAGCTGGAGAAAGAGGAATGTTTAGCAAATGTAATCGCTGGCAAAGATTGTGGCACTACTCGCCACGGGCTCAGTTAGCGGCAAAGGAGATGGCTAAAGCTAGGCTAAATGCTAAATGCTAAATGCTAGCGACTCACTCGGGCGCATTACATACTCAGATAAACTCAGATCCAATGGTTTCAATCTGCAAAAGGAGTTAACCCCTCCCACCTGTTAACGGAGTCAATGGAGCAAATCCAGACCTTAGTATGAAATGAAATGAGTACTATGGTGTGGTACGACCCGACTAGGCTACACGTTGAATTGAATTGAAATGAATCTTCTGTTAATGACGGGTGTAAACGTGTTGCAGCCTGCTGGACTCCCTGGTTCGACAGAGATGACCCCTCTGGCTCTGGGGACTGGGAGTCTCTGTTCGCTCTCCGTGCTGAGTTCCCAGGACAGATCTGCAACAAACCTCTGGAGATCCAGGCACTGACGACCTGCGGGAACAGTGTGGAGTCCACCGGGAACGAGATCACGGCGTAAGTCTCCACATATGGGAAGAGCAGGAGCTTTGAAATCACCTAAAAAGACCATGGAGCTACAGTTACATCTGGATCGGGCATTACTAGTTTATAGCTGTCCCACCTATGAGCACAGGGGGCGCCAGAGAGTCAAAAGTGACCAACGTCTCCTGGATACTTGGAAATATGTCTCACTTCTCTTGTGTTTGACCTAGAATCTTTATTTAGAAGCCGTAGATAGTGACTGCTTTGATTTCACTCTGTCTGAAGCAGAAGGGAAGGGACAAAAAGGACATTAGATAAAACTGAGAATCACTCTGGTGCATTTAGTCGACAAACACTGATAAGAGATGATAGTTTTCCAGGACATGTTCAGCTGTATCTGTGTGACCTTCATCTGAGTCAGAAAAATACTTATTTTATCATATTGTTTTATCAACATTATCATAAAATGGTCTGAAGAAAGTTATCTGTCATTTATAATATTACTGCAATGCCAGTAATCATACACTTGGTCTATATCCCTGGCCTCTCTCTCTCTGGCCTTTCTCTCTCTCTCTAGCCTCTCTCTGGTCACTCTCTCTCTCTCTGGTCACTCTCTCTCTCTCTGGTCTCTCTCTCTCTCTGGTCTCTCTCTCTCTCTGGCCTCTATCTCTCTCTAGTCTCTCTTTCTGACCTCTCTCTCTGATCTCTCCCTCTCTAGTCTTTCTCTAGTCTCTCTCTCTGACCTCTCTCTGATCTCTCTCTCTGACCTCTCTCTCATCTCTCCCTCTCTTGTCTTTCTCTAGTCTCTCTCTTTGACCTTTCTCTCTGGCCTCTCTCTCTGGTCTCTCTTTGGTCTCTCTCAGGCCTCTCTCTAGTCTCTCTCTGGTCTCTCTCTCTAGTCTCTCTCTGGTCTCTCTCTCTAGTCTCTCTCTGGTCTCTCTCTCTAGTCTCTCTCTGGTCTCTCTCTCTGGTCTCTCTCTCTCTGGTCTCTCTCTCTGGTCTCTCTCTGCTCTCTCTCTAGTCTCTCTCTGGTCTCTCTCTGCTCTCTCTCTAGTCTCTCTCTGGTCTCTCTCTGGTCTCTCTCTGCTCTCTCTCTAGTCTCTCTCTGGTCTATCTCTGGTCTCTCTTGTCTCTCTCTCTCTGGCCTCTCTCTCTCTAGCCTCTCTCTCTGACATCTCTCTCTCTAGTCTCTCTTTCTGACCTCTCTCTCTGATCTCTCTCTCTGACCTCTCTCTCTGATCTCTCACTCTCTGGCCTCTCTCTGACCTCTCTCTCTCTGACCTCTCTCTCTCTGACCTCTCTCTCTCTCTGACCTCTCTCTCTAGTCTCTCTCTCTGACCTCTCTCTCTAGTCTCTCTCTCTGACCTCTCTCTCTAGTCTCTCTCTTTGACCTCTCTCTCTGTCTATTCTTGCTCTCCCTGGCCTCTCTCTCTCTCTCTCTGACCTCTCGCTCTAGTCTCTCTCTCTGACCTCTCTCTCTAGTCTCTCTCTCTGACCTCTCTCTCTGGGCCTCTCTCTTTCTCTATTCTTGCTCTCCCTGCCTCTCTCTCTCTCTGACCTCTCTCTCTGGCCTCTCTCTCTGTCTATTCTTGCTCTCCCTGCCTCTCTCTCTCTCTGGCCTCTCTCTCTGTCTATTCTTGCTCTCCCTGGCCTCTCTCTCTCTCTGACCTCTCTCTCTCTCTGACATCTCTCTCTCTCTGACATCTCTCTCTCTGGTGTCTCTCTCTGTGTCACGTTGTTGTTATTGAAATTTAGTCTGTAACAACACTTCAATCAAAATCTTGTTTTTTCTAATCTCTAATTTCTTTGATTTTCAGGAACGATGTGAGTCAGGGTTTCATCTGTCAAAACGACAAACAGAAGTGGAAAACATGTGCTGATTTTAGAGTGCGCTTCAGGTGTCCACCCGAGTTCTGCACAAACAAAAGTAAGTCACGAAACACTGACAGTTTACTTAGATTGAGTATCGTCGAGATAGCAGGTAACTATGGAAACCAAGAACTGAGACAAGGCCAGCAGATGCATCTAGAGCATCAGGCTTATCTTAGAAATGTACATATTTGAAGGCGATTGCGAAGATATCACATGTGTTGGTTGCTGCAGCTGTCAAAAGCCGTGCAGACACTGAACAATACAGCTGCAGGGGAGACTGAAGGGCAAGGAGCAGGACTGAGGGCTATGGGAGGACCAGAAAGAGACCAGAGATAGACCAGAGAGAGACCAGAGAGAGACCAGAGAGAGGCCAGAGAGAGAGGCCAGAGAGAGAGACCAGAGAGAGACCAGAAAGAGACCAGAAAGAGACCAGAGAGAGAGACCAGAGAGAGAGACCAGAGAGAGAGACCAGAGAGAGAGACCAGAGAGAGAGACCAGAGAGAGAGACCAGAGAGAGAGACCAGAGAGAGAGACCAGAGAGAGAGACCAGAGAGAGAGACCAGAGAGAGAGACCAGAGAGAGAGACCAGAGAGAGAGACCAGAGAGAGAGAGACCAGAGAGAGAGAGACCAGAGAGAGAGAGACCAGAGAGAGAGAGACCAGAGAGAGAGAGACCAGAGAGAGAGAGACCAGAGAGAGAGACCAGAGAGAGAGACCAGAGAGAGAGACCGAGAGAGAGAGACCAGAGAGAGAGACCAGAGAGAGAGACCAGAGAGAGAGACCAGAGAGAGAGACCAGAGAGAGAGACCAGAGAGAGAGACCAGAGAGACTAGGTCAGGCCAGTCCACATGTAGACTGGGACTAGACTGGTCAGGCCAGTCCACATGTAGACTGGGACTAGAGTGGTCAGGCCAGTCCACATCATGTAGACTGGGACTAGAGTGGTCAGGCCAGTCCACATGTAGACTGGGACTAGGTCAGGCCAGTCCACATGTAGACTGGGACTAGAGTGGTCAGGCCAGTCCACATGTAGACTGGGACTAGAGTGGTCAGGCCAGTCCACCTGTAGACTGGGACTAGGTCAGGCCAGTCCACCTGTAGACTGGGACTAGAGTGGTCAGGCCAGTCCACATGTAGACTGGGACTAGGTCAGGCCAGTCCACATGTAGACTGGGACTAGAGTGGTCAGGCCAGTCCACTTGTAGACTGGGACTAGACTGGTCAGGCCAGTTCTGGAGCAACCTTATATTTTCTAAACGTACTCATCGTGACTCAAACTGGACTGGAACCAGAACCCAGGCCGGACTAAAGGTGTGGTCTGCGTCCTCAGTTTGCTGGACTCGCTGGTTCAACAGAGATAATCCCGAAGGCACCGGAGACTGGGAGCTTCTGAGCGACCTGAGGAAGAGTTTCCCCAACAAGATCTGCGACACTCCTCTGTACATCGACGTGAGGACCACGGACAGCGACAAACCCATCACCCTGACCGGACAGAAACACCACATGTGAGAGACACTTTATTTTTTTATTTTTTGCTTTCAGTACAAATAGTTCACATCAAGTTCTGTGACAAAATGCATTGAAACAGTACAAGCTTCTTTACATTTATTGTCTCAGTAAAAGAATCTCCTAAGACAAAATAATACTTTTTACATTTGAGGCAACGGAAAGTTTGCCAAAATGAGCCGTTACAATCAGAATAAGTTTGGTCTTATACTAGTTTCTTTTTCCTAGCTTATTTTCCCCAAACATGGGAGAATAAATAAAAAATTAGGGCTGTCAAACGATAAATTTTTTTTAGTTGATTAATCGCACAGTAATGGTGAGTTAACTCACGATTAATCGCATTTTTAACATTCTATTTCAAATCCACTCCAATTGAAGTTAAATGAGATTTTCAAATGCAATGACACATTGTTTTTCAGACCAAATGTACTTAAATCTGTTTGATTTGCTCACAACCTTCTACTTTTGGGTACAACCAACAAGAGCTGTTAATGAAAGGGAAAATGTAGGTACCCCAGCTTTAATTTTGCGAGTTTGGTTGCATTTCAGCGTGTCTCCTCCTCTCCTCCGTGTGTCACACAACATCAGAGAATGGCCCCTGTGCGTGTATATATATGCGTGTATTATATGACCACGTTACCGCTGTCACCATCACACACACGCACGTGTCCGCGGCATTCTGAGTGATATTATTATAAATGGGCGGGTCATTTGGACATGCGATTGCCTTCCAGCCCATTTCAGAACAGGTACTCCCATATTACCAGCCGTTTCTGATGATTTTTACTGAATTTTCAAGACCCACAGAATATTGTGTACTATGACTATCTGAAATCCAAAACCATATTCTGAAAGAATGGACTGTCTACGTTCATCAGCAAAAATGATTTTGTTTCTAGCTTGTTTCGTTCCCCTGTAATCCCCAGTCGAGTAGAGGTAAGTTTTATTGAAATCACCAGAAAGCTGAGAGAAAAGAGGCACATGTTTTCAAACCATTCATAGAGCAATGCTGCCATCTGCTGGCTTGATAAAATATTGCCTCAAGCCTTACATATTTGATACAATAGACATCTGGGAACGTGAAAATAGCGGGAAACGCAATTGACGTGTTAACACGTCAATGGCAGTGAATGCGTTAATTATTTTTAACGCGTTAATGAAAACGGTAATTAACGTGAATTAACGCGATAATTTTGACAGCCCTATAAAAAATACATTTAAAACCTGCTGTATCCCAATATGTTAAGAATCATAATAATATTGAATTGTGAGACTCTCTCTGGTCTCGCTCTGGTCTCTCTCCCTGGTCTCTCTCTGGACACTCTCTCTGGTCTCTCTCTCTCTGGTATCTCTCTGGTCTCTCTCTGGTCTCTCTCTGGTCTCTCTCTCTCTGGTCTCTGTCTGGTCTCTCTCTAGTCTCTCTCTCTGGTCTCTCTCTCTCTGGTCTCTCTCTCTCTGGTCTCTCTCTGGTTTCTCTCTGGTCTCTCTCTCTGGTCTCTCTCTGGACACTCTCTCTGGTCTCTCTCTCTCTGGTCTCTCTGTCTGGTATCTCTCTGTCTGGTATCTCTCTGGTCTCTCTCTGGTCTCTCTCTGGTCTCTTTCTCTGCTCTCTTTTCACTATTTTTGTTTTTTTTCTGCTGTTTCTGGTCCGCAGCTACAGTCCGACTGAAGGGTTTGCGTGTCTGAACGAGGACCAGGGCGGGTGTAAGTGCCGAGACTACAAAGTGCGCTTCGGCTGCCCCTGTGACTGCCCCCCCGAGACCTCAAAGGACACGTATGATGCAAAGTCGTCCTGAGTTTTTGACCATTCAGGAAAAATGGGCTTGGAGGAACCAAGCCCGTGCTGATGGTAGTGGTTGGAGAGGCCACTTCAGGAGAACGGCCTCTTTTGACTCTCTTTCACAAAGAACTGACAACTTTTGAGAGACTTCAGAAAGAAAAACATCATCACAACATTGTTCTTCATCAAATCCACCAGAATGATTGACAGTTGGGAGGACCAATCGTCTTGATGATCCACCCGGAAGTAGAAAATCCTCATATTTAAAACATATGAGCTGAGTAATTAAACTTCCAAAACAAAAGCCGTCAAATTGGCTGCTCTCTTCTACTGTTAATCCAAGCTATTGACAGAAACTTCAGGCACAAACACATCCCCAGCCTCCTGTGTCTAAATCAGGGCTGTCAACACGGTCCTCAAGAGACCCATGTGGTCTTCAGAGAAAGACTGGACTCACTTGAGGAAATGAGTCGCTCAGGTCTCTCGCTTTGGTCTCTCTCTGGTCTCTTTCTGATCCCTCTCTGGTCTCTCTCTGATCCCTCTCTGCTCTGTCTCTCTCTGGTCTCTTTCTGATCCCTCTCTGGTCTCTCTCTGATCCCTCTCTGCTCTCTCTCTCTGGTCTCTCTCTGGTCTCTTTCTCTAGTCTCTCTCTGGTCTCTCTCTGGTCTCTCTCTGGTCTCTCTCTGATCCCTCTCTGGTCTCTCTCTGGTCTCTCTCGGTTCTCTCTCTGGTCCATCTCTGGTCTCTCTCTGGTCTCTCTCTGATCCCTCTCTGGTCTCTCTCTGATCCCTCTCTGCTCTCTCTCTCTGGTCTCTCTCTGGTCTCTTTCTCTAGTCACTCTCTCTAATCTGTTTCCTCTCTGGTCTCTCTCTGGTCTCTCTCTGGTCTCTCTCTGGTCTCTCTCTGGTCTCTCTCTGGTCTCTCTCTGGTCTCTCTCTGGTCTCTCTCTGATCCCTCTCTGGTCTCTCTCTGATCCCTCTCTGGTCTCTCTCTCTGGTCTCTCTCTGATCTCTCTCTGATCCCTCTCTGGTCCCTCTCTGATCCCTCTCTGATCCCTCTCTGATCCCTCTCTGGTCTCTCTCTGGTCTCTCTCTGATCCCTCTCTGGTCTCTCTCTCTCTTGTCTCTCCCTGGTCTCTCTCTGATCCCTCTCTGGTCTCTCTCTGATCCCTCTCTGCTCTCTCTCTCTGGTCTCTTCTCTGTCTCTCTCTGGTCTCTCTCTGGTCCTCTCTGATCCCTCTCTGGTCTCTCTCTCCCTCTGGTCTCTCTCGGTCTCTCTCTGGTCCCTCTCTGGTCTCTCTCTGGTCTCTCTCTGATCCCTCTCTGGTCTCTCTCTGATCCCTCTCTGGTCTCTCTCTGGTCTCTCTCTGGTCCCTTTCTGGTCTCTCTCTGTCTCTCTCTGTTCCTCTCTGGTCTCTCTCTGGTCTCTCCTGGTCTCTCTCTGATCCCTCTCTGGTCTCTCTCTGGTCCCTCTCTGGTCTCTCTCTCTGGTCTCTCTCTGATCCCTCTCTGGTCTCTCTCTGGTCCCTCTCTGATCCCTCTCTGGTCTCTCTCTGATCCCTCTCTGGTCTCTCTCTCTGGTCTCTCTCTGATCCCTCCTCTCTGGTCTCTCTCTGGTCCCTCTCTGATCCCTCTCTGGTCTCTCTCTGATCCCTCTCTGGTCTCTCTCTGGTCTCTCTCTGATCCCTCTCTGGTCTCTCTCTGGTCTCTCTCTGATCCCTCTCTGGTCTCTCTCTGGTCTCTCCCTGGTCTCTCTCTGATCCCTCTCTGGTCTCTCTCTGGTCTCTCTCTGGTCTCTCTCTGATCCCTCTCTGGTCTCTCTCTGATCCCTCTCTGCTCTCTCTCTCTGGTCTCTCTCTGATCCCTCTCTGGTCTCTTTCTCTAGTCACTCTCTCTGATCTGTTTCCTCTCTGGTCTCTCTCTGATCCCTCTCTGGTCTCTCTCTGGTCTCTCTCTGGTCTCTCTCTGGTCTCTCTCTGATCCCTCTCTGGTCTCTCTCTGATCCCTCTCTGGTCTCTCTCTCTGGTCTCTCTCTGATCCCTCTCTGGTCTCTCTCTGGTCCCTCTCTGATCCCTCTCTGGTCTCTCTCTGATCCCTCTCTGGTCTCTCTCTGGTCTCTCTCTGATCCCTCTCTGGTCTCTCTCTGGTCTCTCTCTGATCCCTCTCTGGTCTCTCTCTGGTCTCTCCCTGGTCTCTCTCTGATCCCTCTCTGGTCTCTCTCTGATCCCTCTCTGGTCTCTCTCTCTGGTCTCTCTCTGATCCCTCTCTGGTCTCTCTCTGGTCCCTCTCTGATCCCTCTCTGGTCTCTCTCTGATCCCTCTCTGGTCTCTCTCTCTGGTCTCTCTCTGATCCCTCTCTGGTCTCTCTCTGGTCCCTCTCTGATCCCTCTCTGGTCTCTCTCTGATCCCTCTCTGGTCTCTCTCTGGTCTCTCTCTGATCCCTCTCTGGTCTCTCTCTGGTCTCTCTCTGATCCCTCTCTGGTCTCTCTCTGGTCTCTCCCTGGTCTCTCTCTGATCCCTCTCTGGTCTCTCTCTGGTCTCTCTCTGATCCCTCTCTGGTCTCTCTCTGATCCCTCTCTGATCCCTCTCTGATCTCTCTCTGGTCTATCTCTTGTACACAAATAGTTAATGTGCCAGATTATAGCAAAACTGCTAATTTAAACTGTAAATGGGCTTTTATTTTGGGATCAACTGAAAAAATCAAATGTTTGAAGAAAAGAAACACTAATAATAACACTGTCCGTCTTCATGTTCTGTTGCTTTTCTCTGCTGTAAAAAAATGCATCTCTAGAAATTCAAAGTTTATTGTCATAATAATAAAATATTAAGATAAAAATGTGTGAGTTTGGGCTTTTGTTTCCTGTGGATGCTGGAGGCTCTGCGGACAGTGATGATCTGGGACATTTATTAACATTTATGGACAGTGTCATCCCACTCCTGTGTCTCCTTTTGGAAGACAAGCTAGATGTGTTTCCCTGTTCACCTACTTTTGAGACAGATATTCGAGCCGTCTCTCTGGTCTCTCTCTGGTCTCTCTCTGGTCTCTCTCTGGTCTCTCTCTGGTCTCGCTGTAAAAAGAATTTATTTGAACCAACTTAAAAAAGGTTTCAATTGGTAACAACTAGTAAATTAAATTGTTTCAACTTTTAATTCTATATTGAACTGAACTTGTATTTTCAATCAGATAAAAGTTAAATATTCATTCAAGTTTCCCAAAATATTACTTTCTTTCAACTTTACAGCTGTAAAAACAAAAAAAAATAGTTCAAGTCAAAATTCCAGGGCAACTGTCTGCACAGGATGTTTGAGCTGCAGCATCAACTTCATTCTTTCTGTTCAACCTGGAGAGACTACAAGAGACGAGATGCGTTTAAGAGTTGTTTATTTTATGGATTGAGTTTGTTTATTGGTTTGGAGCTTAGGCCCCGGCTGTGGCCGTGCTCTGGAGAGATCTGCGCCTGGGTGCAGATCATGATCCCCAAAAAGAGAGCTTGGCTAGCGATGCGTTTGCCATGACTCGGTTGCTGCGTTTATGGAAGGCGCATGGTGTGAGTGACTGTTTCCGTGCGCGAGCTCGGCTCTGGCGCTAGGCGTTGGCACGCGCACGAGCTCGGCTCAAGTGGCGTAATGCCCGGGCGCGTCGTCGATGCGTGCGCCTTCGTCGATGCGTGCGCCTTCGTCGATGCGTGCGCCGGAGTCGATGCGTGGAGGAGGAGTCGAAGCGTGGAGGAGGAGTCGAAGCGTGGAGGAGGAGTCGAAGCGTGGAGGAGGAGTCGAAGCGTGGAGTCGAAGCGTGGAGGAGGAGTCGAAGCGTGGAGTCGTCGAAGCGTCGTCGAAGCGTGCGGCCACCGAAGTGGCGTCGTCGAAACGTGCGGCCACCGAAGTGGCGTCGGCGAAGCGTGCGGCCACCGAAGTGGCGTCGGCGAAGCGTGTGGGCGTTGAAGTGTGCGGCCGCCGACGTGTGCTGCGATGAAGCGTTGAAGTGAGGCCGTTGAAGCATGCCTGAAGGCCAACGCACTGGTTAAAACAAACAGTACAGAGGGGCTCGGCCGCGCTCCGACCAATCAGAACAGCTCATCAGACACGGACAGCCGGGAGGCAATGCAGTGGGCAAAACTTACAGTCCACGGTCAAATAGACAGCGCAAAGGCCAATGCAGACGACAAATGTTATAGTCCATGGTTACAACTGACAGCCTGAAGGTCAATGCAGTGGGTAAAATGTTCAGACCATAGTCAAACGGACAGCCTGGAGGTCACTGCATTGTGTAGAATGTTCATCCCATGAGTAAAACGGACAGCCAGAAGGCCAATACAGTGGTTAAAATGTGCGGTCCATGGTGAAAACGGACGGTCTAAATGCCAATGCAGATGGTAAAATGAACAGCCTGAAGAGCAATGCATCGGGTAAAAACACAGCCTGCGAGCCAATTCGGCGGGATTAACTGACACGCCGCATTTCAGTACAGTAAATGGTAGAGCGGAAAACAACAAAACCGACACTGTACCGTGAGTGGAGGCAGGGAGAAGGGTGGACAGAGGCAGCAGACAACGGCAGGCAGACAGAAGTCCCGTTCCCGGTATGGAAGCGGCAGGGTGCGCGGAGCCTGGCCGCGAGCAGCAGCGGCCACGGGGAGACGAGCTGCAGCGAGTCCGCAGGAGAGGACCCGCGGTGGAGACACAGCGACCATGGCGCGCAGCCCCCAACATGTGATGTTGAAGAGGAGCCGCGACCATGCAGGACGAACAATGTGCGAGGCGTGAGTAAACAAAGTGACGAAGAGCAACCCATTGCAGCTTGAAGTCCGTTTGGTGAGCTGTGCTCTGCTTTGCTCTTAAACGCTGGCTTGATTGACACGGCTGCGGGGAGTTGATTAAGACAGGCTGAGTAAGGCGTGGTCAAGCCTGGTGCGATAACGTAGGTAGTCTACCATACTGAACCTCCGCTTAAGCTCCATTTCTGAAGAACTACAATCATGTTGTGTCAGATAAGTTTTCCAAGTTCTACCTTTCATTACTATTAGAACATTCTGAAAAGATGACCCAGGGACTATATAGGGCTACTTTGGCCTGGCCTGGCCCTGTCAATTACGGTTGGTAAAAATAAAGTGTATTTAGGCCCTAGTTGAAGCAAGGTACAAATTTACGTAAAGCAAAAGTACAATTAAAAGTATTGGTTCTTCTATACTAGACAATATAAGATCTTTTTGGTGGTGTTATTACCTTGACATGTATCGACGGATAACTTCCGTCTTCCTCAGAAGCGTCTCGCGACGTCACACGTGCCTTTTACCAGCTGCTGTTCCCAGGCAAAGTCAGCCCAGCCATATGTGGTTTACCAAAAAGATCTTATGTTGTCTGGTATAGAAGAACCAATACTTTCAATTCTACTAAGAAGACAAGATGAATCTTCCTAAACAAGCAAAAGTACATTTCTCATGTTTTGACTTCAAAGGAAATATGTGAAATATAACTTAATTTTAAACTTTGGGTCAAAGTCATATATCACTCGGGTCTGCATTGGTCATATAGTTGTTTGAAACCACATATTTCCTTTGACGTCAAAACATGAGAAATGTACTTTTGCTTTACGTACATTTTTACCTTGCTTCAACTAGGGCCTAAATACACTTTATTTTTACCAACCGTAATTGACAGGGCCAGGCCAGGCCAAAGTAGCCCTATATACGCACGCACGCATGTACATGCACACGCACACACACAGTACACACACTGTACACACACTGTACACACACTGTACACACACTGTACACACACTGTACACACACAGTACACACACGTACACACACAGTACACACACAGTACACACACAGTACACACACAGTACACATAGTACACACAGTACACACATACTTGGGTGGCACGGTGTCTGAGTGGATAGCACTCTCAGCAAGAAGGTCCTGGGTTCGAACCCCGGTCGGACCAGGGTCTTTCTGAGTGGAGTTTGCATGTTCTCCCTGTGTCTGTGTAGGTTTCCTCCGGGTACTCCGGTTTCCCCTACCACTAAAAATATGTCCAATAGTTCTGGCATGCGCCTCCACTGGTGACCCCGCTCCCATCTCTGTGTGGAGTGAGAGGGCAAAGGCCCAAGAATAACAATTGTAAACTGCTTTGTGACTCTGGTCTGTGAAAGGCGCTATATAAATAAAGATTACTTACTTACTTACTTACTTACATAGTTACTTACATACTTACTTACTTACTTACTTACATACTTACTTACTTACTTACTTACTTACTTACTTACTTACTTACTTAAACGTCTTTTTCTGCTCAGATCAAACCAGTTTGTATCAGTTTGTGCCTTTGTCCTTGGACCAAAGATTTATCCCTAATCTGTCTCCTGCACATGTTTGACCATGGATCAGACACTGTTGGATTAAAAAATGACATGGAATGAAATAAAGAAGAAATATTGATTGATTTGGATCTTGTTCAATTAATATTATTATTATTATTAATAATAATAATTACAAAATACATTTTATTAATTGCATCTTACATTTACGGGGAACCTCAAAGTTGCAGATTAAAATACAGTACTAAACAACAAAACAAAATGACATAAAATCCTCCTCTGTGCTCTGTGTTCATCTCCACACAGCGTCATTCAGCCAACTTCAGCTCTGCCACTATAGACATGTTAAAGGAGGATTGTCTACTTTTCTACTATTGGTCCTCCCAACTGTCAATCATTCTGCTGATACGTGCTCGTCCAATAAGAGCAGAGAGTTTTGTTCAATAAGTGGAAAGAGCAGTTCTTTCCTAAAATTTGGGAAAAGCCTCCTGTTTAACTTTAAGATCAAGATCAAGCTCAAAGAAAATTGGGCCTCATTCACGAACCGTACTTAAGAACAAATTTGTGCGTAAATCCTACTTACAAAGATTGTGGCATTCATGACATTTTCTCGTAACCAGAATTTCTCTTGGGTGAGTACAAATCCTACGAATGCTCAGGAGCCTCGTACGCACATTCAGTGAGACATGTTCGCACGCTAGTGTTATAAAGTTAAATAAAACACAACATTACAGTGATATGTCCATCATATTGATGTATGTATTTATTTATTTAATTGTTAATGGTAATTTAGCCTATTTTTTAATTCATTGTGAAATGAAATGTGCCAACACGTTATCAAATACATTGGAAATCTTGCCGTGTATTAGTGACCCCTTCCTATTTATAGGGGGAATTTCTTTATCCACGGGCCACAGAACAACGGCATATATACTGCTGCTGCAGGAGGTTACTGGGTCCGCGCTGAGTCTCTGCACTGGTCTCTCCCATGGATCTATACGGGTCTGCACTGGTCTCTCCCATATACGGGTCTGCACTGGTCTCTCCCATATACGGGTCTGCACTGGTCTCTCCCATGGATCTATACTGGTCTGCACTGGTCTCTCCCATGGATCTATACGGGTCTGCGCTGGTCTCTCCCATGGATCTATACGGGTCTGCACTGGTCTCTCCCATGGATCTATATGGGTCTGCACTGGTCTCTCCCATGGATCTATACGGGTCTGCACTGGTCTCTCCCATGGATCTATACGGGTCTGCACTGGTCTCTCCCATGGATCTATACGGGTCTGCACTGGTCTCTCCCATGGATCTATACGGGTCTGCGCTGGTTTCTCCCATGGATCTATACGGGTCTGCACTGGTCTCTCCCATGGCTCTAGACGGGTCTGCACTGGTCTCTCCATACGGGTCCGTGCTGCATGCTCCTGGATCCATACGGGTCCGCGCTGGTCTCTCAAGTCTGGTCTATGTGGTCTCTCTTCGGTCCGCGCTGGTCTCTGCGCACCGGTCTCTCCAGTCAGGTCACTCCAGTCTCTCCTCGGGTCTGCATTGGTCTCTGCGCTGGTCCGTGCTGGATCTCCTCCCAGGGTCCAAAATATGTTGAGATGAATCTCAAAACATTTTGAGATTCATTTTTACATTAGTACATAATATATTTTTAAATTAAGCTCATAATATTTTGAGATTAAACTCATCATATTTTTAGATTAATCTCATAATTTTGCTAGTTTTACTTTATTCTCATAATATTTCGACTTTTAAGTCAACATTTTATAACTTTATTCTCAGTCTGACAAAAGAAGAAAAAAGGGTGACTCTTTTGCTCCGTGTAACTCTTTGCTTTAGGCCTGTTGCTGTTTCCTCTGGCGTCTGCACACAGCCCTGCAGTCCCTTATATGGGCATTAGTGGGCGGTTACCTATGCTAAGTACCTATGCTAATGAAGCACCGGGCACGCGCGCTCTACTTACGAGGAAATGGCATTCATCAATCTGAGAGAACAGCTGCGAACAATTCAGCGGCTTACGAGCGCGTTGATGAATCCCACGTTGGCTCTTCTTAGAAATCTACTGAAGAACGACTTGAGAAGAAATTTAATAAGTTTCTTACGAAGATATTCGTGAGTGAAGCCTAGTGATGGGTTGATGAAGCTTCATGAAGTGTTGAACCTTTCCATCAATCTGGTTCGAGAAAAGGTTAATTTCTTGACGCTTCATATGCACACAAACCCCCTGTTGTTCGAAATGTGTATTGACATTTGAATTGCTTGGTTCTTGGTGCATTGGAATAATTGCTGCCAAAAGAAATAAAAACGCCTTCATTTGATTGTGTATGAAGCATTATTTCATCTGTTTGATGATGATCAATATCAGTATTAACAAGAATGTTTTAAATTACAATACAATTATAATGTACTGGTAACTGAGTTGTTTGTTCTAACATATCCACACTGTAAAGAAATAGTTCATAATTATTATAGCTAAATAAATCCAACAGAACCAAAGATATTTTGAAAGTGCTTTTCAAATGACAAGACACAGATTGGATATAATTAGTGCTTTATCTGTTGTTTAAAAACAATAACTTCTCAACAATAGCAGGACTCAGACGGTTTCTTTTCTTTGATACAACTTCTCCAGCTTTTGAAAAAATCCTTTCGCAGGGTACTGAGGAGGCAGGGGTGCATAAGTATCCCACAGCAAGCCTGTACAGACTTGGATATATCTCTCTCTGCCTCTCCCAGGACTGCGGAGGGTCCTCAGTCCGGTCAATATTTGGTTCGGCCAGGTACCGCTGTGCTTCCACTGTTGCATCAGCAAAATTATTTGTGGTCTTCTTTGATTCAGAAACCATAGCGTCCAAATGACTCCAGAGTCTGGTTCCTGAAAGAAGAAAGAGATTAATAAGTCATAACTCCAAAGTGAATGTAAATCAAATCAAAAATACTGATCAGGTCTTTCAGTGACACACTGTGAAGAAGTTGAAGCAACAGGTGGCACTGAGTGAGAAGAAGAACCTATAATATGTGCACATTCTGCTGTGAGCCTTTTGATGGCTTCTTCTTTCTTCATTGGACAGAAGAATCCAAGTGCCTTAAATCTTGGGTCAAGAAGTGTTGCAAGAGACAGGATGCTCATACTCTGTACTTTATACAACTTGTCTCTCAGGAGCCTTATGAGGTGCTCTCCTAATTCCCGCGCAACTGGCACTGCTGTTTTAGCAGTCTCATCCTGGATGGCCTTCTCTATCATTTTGAGAAGGGGCACCACTTTAGAGCCAGATACTTTTTTCTCAACTGAAAGTTCAATTGTGGCCTCATTAAAAGGAGAAAGAATAGCCAGGCACCCACACACAATTGCAAAATCCTCTGAGGTCACAGCAGGGATGACAGATGTGAGACCCGCCAAAGCTGCCCCCACAGGCTCCTTGAGTTCAGTTACTCGCTCCAGCATTTGGAAGGTGCTGTTCCACCGAGTTTCCACCTCCTGGATCACTTTCTTTTTTGGCATCCCCATCTGTTCCTGAACTCTGTCCAGCTTTTCCTTCAAACATAAAAGTCAATTTTACACATGAAGCAATGTAAAATATTGTGAAAACAAATGTGAAAATTGTGTTACTTACTTTGGCAGTTGTACTGCTCCTAAAATACCCCACCAGCTTTCTTGTCTTCATCCGAATACTGGCTAATGCTGGGGTTAGATCCAGAGCCTTTTTTACCACTAAATTGAGTGTGTGAGCAACACACACTGCATGGCGCAGCTTCAGCTCCCTGCCACAGGCCAGCATGTTTGCTGCACCATCAATTACTAGAGAGACAGATATAGGCTTTACTAACATTGATGAATAAATGAATAGAAGTGACTTGCTACTTCTAGATTGTGTGTCCCAAATATAATTTAAGAATACCCATCACCTTTGACACCATAACGTGACCATGGTTTCATATTTATCTTGCAGTGTCCTGACCTAAACAGGTTACTTTGGATCGAATTCCCCATTCCTCCATGAGGGAGGTTTTCACACTGGCCAGGTTTTCGGCTGTGTGTGCCTGTGGGAATTTTTGGACACCAAGTACTATGGACTTCAGACTTGTCTTCTCATCAATAAAATGGCATGTTACAGCCAAGTAAGCGTCCATGTTTATTGATGTCCACATGTCTGCAGTCAAACTGACTGCAGGAACCTTCTGGACCTCAGCTTTGGCCTTCTCCTTCTCATGTTGGTATCTCTCCTCAACCATAGCCTTTACTGTCTGATGGAAAGATGAAGATGTAAACTATAATCAGTATGTTGAATTGAAAAATCTTCTATGTCACCAAACAAACCTTTCTTGTGGGGAGGATGTAGCTTGGATCTAGTTTAGCCACAAACTCGCGAAATCCAGTGTCCTCCACTATACTGAGAGGCTGGGTGTCTTTAATGATCATTGATACCAAGGCATCATCCAGGTCCTTCTTTCTGCTCACTAAAAGACGAAATAAGATGTTTTGTATTTTTGTTCATGTAATTTCAATTAGATACAATATTTAAAATAAGAAAATATATGATTATTCCGTTTTGAATGACTGACCTGGACTTGGTCCAGCCACATTCCCCACACCATTTGCATGTATAGCACGAAAATGCCTCACCATGGATGAGGTGTTGTTGTTATATCCCAATTCCTTGGCACACAACAAACACTTCACCTTACATTAAAAGAATAAAATAAATATATATATATTTGTAAGGGGATTCAATAAAATGAATGCATGGAATATGAATTTAATGCATAATTTATTGTTTCTAACTATTTACTTACCTTATTGGGAGAGATGAGATCAAAATGTTCCCACATGGGGGAAAACTTTCTCTTTCTCGCGGGTTCCATGGAAAAAAGTATGGATAGAACAAGATATATATATCTATGTCACTCACAAACTTTATCGCCAACACAAACCCACAAAGTTTGAGCGAATCCATTACACACTTATATAGGTTCATGAATCCCTCCGTTTCCTGTACTCCCGAGGCTTCAAACGTCATTAGTGACGTCACTCACCGAAAACAACTCAGGCTTCGGCTCACGCTCCGCTAAAGACTTCCGGGATTTCTTGACTCACGCCCCAAAGCGCCGACGCGGCACGACCCATCACTAGTGAAGCCCAATAACTCTATAATAAAATGAAATCTCTGGGGTTTCATATGTTATACCTCATTTTAAATCTGCTTTAGTCTCTCCATGGCCTCACACCAAAGTACAGAGAGAGAGACCAGAGAGAGACCAGAGAGAGACCAGACAGAAACCAGAGAGAGACCAGAGAGTGACGAGAGAGGGACCAGAGAGAGAGACCAGAGAGAGACCTAAGATAAAGACCAGAGAGAGACCAGCAAAAGACATGAAGGATAGACCAGAGAGAGACCTAAGAGAGACCTAAGAGAGACCAGAGAAAGACCAGAGAGAGACCAGGGAAAGACCAGAGAGAGACCAGGGAGAGACCAGAGAGAGACCAGAGAGAGACCAGGGAAAGACCAGAGAGAGACCAGGGAGAGACCAGAGAGAGACCAGGGAGAGACCAGAGAGAGACCAGAGAGAGACCAGGGAAAGACCAGAGGGAGACCAGGGATAGACCATGGAGAGAGAGACATGAGACATGCTTCACACATAAATAGACAATATACAGTATATGATTTATGTGAAACCTGGACAAATGTATGAATAAAACCATAAATGAAACATATTTATCTGAGATACATGGTACAGTCTTATATCCTGGTTTGGACCTCTCCCTAATCTGTCCCTTGACCTGGTCTTGGGTGACCTGGTCTTGGGTGACCTGGTCCTGAGTGACCAGTGTGTGTTGTTATATAACTGTAGTTTCTGTATCGCTGCTGTGTCCTTTAGCGAGAGCAGATATGAAGAAGATAAGTCCACAATAGTTAGAATCAGACGCTGCAGATTACACTGGTCCAGATATGAACTGTTCAGCTCTATTTAAACTCTGAGAGGACCATGTGTCACAGAGCAGGACAGCTTCTGGTGAGTGCATCTCTCTGCTCTCTCTCTGGACACTCCAGTCTCTTTGGTCTCACTCTCTGGTCTCTCTCTGGTCTTTCCATTTGGTCTCTCACTGGCCTCTCACTGGTCTCTCTCTGGTCTCTCTCTGGTCTTTCCATTTGGTCTCTCACTGGTCTCTCTCTGGTCTCTCTCTGGTCTCTCTCTCTGGTCTCTCTCTCTGGTCTCTCTCTGGTCTCTCTGTCTGGTCTCTCTCTGGTCTCTCCTTGGTCTCTCTCTGGTCTGTCTCTGGTCTCTCTCTCTGGTCTCTCTCTGGTCTCTCCTTGTTCTCTCTCTGGTCTCTTTCTGGTCTCTTTCTGGCCTCTCTCTGGTCTCTCTCTAATCTCTCTCTGGTCTCTCTCTGGTCTCTCTCTGCTCTCTCTCTGGTCTCTCTCTGGTCTCTGGTCTCTCTCTGCTCTCTCTCTGGTCTCTCTCTGGCCTCTCTCCGGTCTCTCTCTAATCTCTCTCTGGTCTCTCTCTGGTCTCTCTCTGGTCTCTCTCTGGTCTCTTTCTGGTCTCTCTGGTCTCTCAGCTCTAATGGTCTTGTCTCTCTACAGAGTCACAGACACTCAGCGAACATGAATCTCTGGGTATGTTTGGATCCATATAAAGAGAGTCATATTTATAGTATTGTCAAGTTGTTGATGGTGTCGTTGCTGGTTCTGTCCACAGCTCCTCTTGTTGAGTAACGCTCTGGTCGTCGGTGAGTAACCTTTTCACCTTTATTCTTATTTATTCTAACTTTATTTTACAAATATTTCTAAATTCACTCATAACTGAAGAAGAAAAATGCAACAGTCGGCAATAATATTTAGAGAAAGTAGGTTATTTCACGTGTGGTTAGCAATGCTTCTAAATTTGATAAAACATATTTTTGGTCAAGTGGTTAACCATGCTTCTAAGTTCAGTGGTAGAGATTTGAAGTAGCTAGCCATGCTTATAAGTCAAATAGCGGATGTTTAAAGTGGTTAGCCATGCTTCTAGTTTCATGTATACAGATTAAAAGTGGTTAGCCATGCTTCTAGTTTCATGTATACAGATTAAAAGTGGTTAGCCATGCTTCTAGTTTCATGTATACAGATTAAAAGTGGTTTGCCATGCTTCTAGTTTCATGTATACAGATTAAAAGTGGTTAGCTATGCTTCTAGTTTCATGTACACAGATTAAAAGTGGTTAGCCATGCTTCTAGTTTCATGTATACAGATTAAAAGTGGTTAGCTATGCTTCTAGTTTCATGTATACAGATTAAAAGTGGTTAGCTATGCTTCTAGTTTCATGTACACAGATTAAAAGTGGTTAGCCATGCTTCTAGTTTCATGTATACAGATTAAAAGTGGTTAGCCATGCTTCTAGTTTCATGTATACATCCCGTAGCGCCTGGAGCTCACAGTTTTCTGAAATGTGAAATATTTGTTTATTTTAATTTGTTGCTTTTGTTTCCACAGTTTGCCACTTCAATCCGTTTGTGACTGAGATGCCCCTCCCTGAAGATCTGGGTGAGAAACCCCACTGTTCCAGGGTTTAGCTGCCTCCCCATAGTTACTCCTGACTCTGGGACCAGCAGGAGGCCAGTCCCTGTGCTCCTCAGAGTCTCTCTCTCTCTGGTCTCTCTCTCTGTTCTCTCTCTGGTCTCTCTCTGGTCTCTCTCTGTCTCTCTCTGGTCTCTCTGGTCTCTCTCTGGTCTCTCTGGTCTCTCTCCGGTCTCTCTCTCTGGTCTCTCTCTGGTCTCTCTCTAGTCTCTCTCTGGTCTCTCTCTCTGGTCTCTCTCTGGTCTCTCTGGTCTCTCTCTCTGGTCTCTCTCTGGTGTCTCTCTCTCTGGTCTCTCTCTCTCTGATCTCTCTCTGGTCTCTCTCTGGTCTCTCTCTCTGGTCTCTCTCTGGTCTCTCTCTCTGGTCCCTCTCTGGTCTCTCTGGCCTCTCTCTGGTCTCTCTCTGGTCTCTCTCTGGTCCCTCTCTGGTCTCTCTGGCCTCTCTCTGGTCTCTCTCTGGTCTCTCTCTGGTCTCTCTCTGGTCCCTCTCTGATCTCTCTCTGGTCTCTCTCTGGTCTCTCTCTGGTCTCTCTCTGGTCTCTCTCTGGTCTCTCTCTGGTCTCTCTCTGATCTCTCTCTGGTCTCTCTCTGGTCTCTCTCTGGTCTCTCTCTGATCTCTCTCTGGTCTCTCTCTGGTCTCTCTCTGGTCCCTCTCTGGTCTCTCTCTGGTCTCTCTCTGGTCTCTCTCTGGTCTCTCTCTGGTCTCTCTCTGGTCTCTCTCTGGTCTCTCTCTGGTCTCTCTCTGGTCTCTCTCTGGTCTCACATCTCACATACATTTTGAATAACTGATTTTGTGTTAATTCTGTTTTTGATTCTGTTCCAGACGAGGACCATGTGGAGGACGACTTCGATTTCTCAGACCCCACCGATGGTCCACAAACCACTGCATATCGACGTGAGAAACCCCATTCTCTCTCAAATCTGTGTTTGTGAAGACAGAGACCGTTTCTGAGATTCAGAAGCGACTCCGAGCTTTGGAACTAATCATTCTAGTTTATTCTCTGTTTTAGCCCGGCACACGGTATTCAGCACGAAAACCACACCCAGGACCGGTGAGATTTATAGATCCAGGACTAAGACTGTAGACCCAGGACTGAGACTGTAGACCCAGGACTGAGACTGTAGACCCAGGACTGAGGCTGTGGACCCAGGACTGAGACTGTAGACCCAGGACTGAGACTGTAGGCCCAGGACTGAGACTGTAGACCCAGGACTGAGGCTGTGGACCCAGGACTGAGACTGTAGATCCAGGACTGAGAATGTAGGCCCAGGACTGAGACTGTAGACCCAGGACTGAGACTGTAGCCCCAGGACTGAGACTGTGGACCCAGGACTGAGGCTGTAGACCCAGGACTGAGGCTGTAGACCCAGGACTGAGACTGTAGATCCAGGACTGAGAATGTAGGCCCAGGACTGAGACTGTAGATCCAGGACTGAGGCTGTAGACCCAGGACTGAGGCTGTGGACCCAGGACTGAGGCTGTAGACCCAGGACTGAGACTGTAGACCCAGGACTGAGACTGTAGATCCAGGACTGAGAATGTAGACCCAGGACTGAGGCTGTGGACCCAGGACTGAGACTGTAGATCCAGGACTGAGAATGTAGGCCCAGGACTGAGACTGTAGACCCAGGACTGAGACTGTAGCCCCAGGACTGAGACTGTAGCCCCAGGACTGAGACTGTGGACCCAGGACTGAGGCTGTAGACCCAGGACTGAGGCTGTAGACCCAGGACTGAGACTGTAGATCCAGGACTGAGAATGTAGGCCCAGGACTGAGACTGTAGATCCAGGACTGAGGCTGTAGACCCAGGACTGAGGCTGTGGACCCAGGACTGAGACTGTAGATCCAGGACTGAGACTTAAAGCTAAAGTTTAGGCAGTTGCTTAGATTAATGTTTTGATATGATTGTTTGTATTAACTGATTCTGTTCTCATTTCAGAAACAACAACAAAATATCCACCAACAAAAACTTACGGTGAGAAAAAAACTCTTGAACAATAATAAGTAATAATTAACATCAAATAGGGATCTCTTAAAGGGCCACACATACATTCAAAAATATCTCAAGATGACCGTATTTTTGGATCAACATCCATTTAAGAAGGACGCACACACAAACACACACACACACGCACACACACACAGAAGCACATAAGCAGAGAGAGAGCGAGACACACACAGACACAGACACAAAGGTACACACAGAAAAGCACACATACAGAGACACACAAACACTCAAATACAAATACACACACATTGATGAATGTGTGTGTTGTGTTGTTTCAGATGCGCACACAGAGACTGCGACACTCGGTCCAAATGGAGGAGACGACGACGACGATGACATGGAACACGGTGAGAACACAATTATGTTTACAGACACACACACAGACACACACACACAGATACACACACACACAGACACAAACACACAGACACACAGACACACACACACACAGACACACACACACAGACACAGACACACACACACACACACAGACACACACACACACACACACACACACACACACACACACACACACACACACAGACACACACACACACATACACACACACACACACACACACACACACACACACACACACACACACAGACACACAGACACACACTGACCAGTCTGTTTTCTTCAGCTCACGACGTAGACGCTCGCACATATGGTCCTAGCGCACCAGAAGACCCCGGTGAGAACACAATTATTTTCTTGACTCTATATTTTGTCATGTGTTAATTAATCTAAAAAAAAGCAGCTGCCACAAAACACTGACCTGGAGCATGCACCCGTAGAGCACATACCCCGCCAAGTCTACGGATCATCAAATATCAACGAGGTGTTGGTACCGTCACGCTCCATCTCCACTCCTCCTTTCACTCCATGTGGCTAAATGTGCTATCTAAAACGGACGGCCATTTTAGATACCACCTTTTTCAACCTGCAGGTGAAAGCCACATCCTGTCAGACTTCTGAAGCTAAGCAAGGCAGGATCTGGTTAGCACTATGATGGGAGACCTCCTAAACACCAGAGGCAACAGTGGGGCAGCTACCAAACTGTCACTGTGTCCTTAGGCAAGACACTTTACTCACATTAGAATGGTTGCTGATGGTGGGAGGGGTAGATGGCACAGACTGGTTGCCTCGCTTTGGTCATTGTGCCCCAGGGCAGCTCTGGCTACTGCCAGAGCTGCCCTGGCCTAAAAGCACTATATAAAACCAATGTATTATTATTATCATTATTCATATTTTTTATTATTATTATTATAGTCACGAAGACAGAGACCCCAACACCCGCCTACACTTCACCTGAAGATGACGACGGTGAGAACATAATTTGTTTTATTTTTTTGTATACTTGGATAAAATGATTATCCAATCAGAGAGCAGAATGAGCCTCTCTGATTGGATCATTTAGTCAACTAAACAAACTGGCTTTTTGGTTAGCTAATTTGTTAGATAATAATAATAATTAATGTCATGGCGCCAAGGGGGTCTGTGTACCTTCTGTTCATTCTATTTTCGTTTCTGACATCCCAAAAAAAAATACAAAAAATTCAGGGCTTTTTCTGTGTTCTGATACATGAAGGATGCCTTAAAATAGATTACAAAAATCACACACAATGCAGAATAGAATAGATTTACAATATTACAAAGAATAAGCCAATTAGAAGAGGAAGGTTTTGATTTGAAAATGAGAGGCCCGAGATGAAATTCAACTGTTTTTAAAATTTCTGTCACAAATTTCACAAACAAAAACAGAACCACACATGTTTAAGCAGTCACACACAACACAGTGAGTTTATAGTAGTTCTTGCGAAACCCCAGCAGGTGGATTGCATCATCAGTCAGTGCTCAGAAGGTTCTAGTAACAACTTTGTACACATGTTATTAAACCTCTAACTGTACATTACATACTGTATCTTTAATTAAAACGCTAATAATCATCTTTTTCTTTCTGCTTCATTTCAGAAACGGAAACACCTCCGACTACCGGACCCCGTGAGGACTATTTTTTATTTTTTTATTATTTAAAGTTATTTCAGTCACCGCTCACCTTTCTCCAATATATATTAAGTTAACAGTAGGTTGCTATGGTTACTAGCGCTTGCTCTCCTCTACTTCTCTGCTCCATTTCAAAATTAAACTTCCTGTTAGAAGTTAGCATTAGCTTAGCGTTAGCATTAGCAGTTTTAGCACGTAGTAAAAGTGAGTAAAACAAAACCTTACAATTTATTTTGATGAATCTGGTGAAAAACTAAACATATTCAGAATTTACTGGTTTGAATGGGAGCAGTCAAAATGACGGCTCTGGTAGTCCTGGTGTTAAGCAAATCCTCAGACAACAACGTCTTGGATAGAGTTTATTTTGTGTCTTTTAAATCTAGTTATTGCTTGTGAAAATAAGCCGACTGAATATTAATTAAGGTTAATTAAGTTATTTCCACCCGTGGCTTTGATAGCGCCGCATTGGATATAAATTATAAAAACAAATGTACTTTATAATCAGTGTGAATTTGCCGATTGTCTCTTTCATTTCAGACATTGAAACACCATCGACCGCACCAGAGAAAGCCATCAAACCCGCCTGTGAGAAAATATGACATTAAAACTTCACAACATTAATAGTTTAAACCTGTCTCACCTCATACAATAATACTTTAGATCTTGATTTTAAACAATTATCCAGTTTCATAATGTCTGTAACATTCGTTTTTTGTTTTTCAACTTCCATTTGAATGTTTGTATTTTTTCTACATTTTGATAGTATTTTTAAGGTGTTTTTCTTCTTTTTTTAACCCTGGTTACAAACATTTTTCAGTGTGGAAACCATGGCTTGAGTTCCTTCAGGCGGCTCGCAGAGTCCTCCCGTCTCATGTTAAAAGTCTACTTTTAGGATTTGACCCTAATTTTTCAGACTTTTTTCGGTCCAGTTTTGACTATACACATGCGTTTACACAATTTTATTTTTATTCAAACTTTTATTAAAATAGTTTACACTTGTCCTGGTTTAAGATCTCTATCTCTTTGCTTTAGCTGGGTTCAAGGCATCTGTTAAGCCAAGTTTTTTTTTTAACCACTTTTACTTATTTTTAACCAGTTCAATGTAAGTTAAATTCACAAAAACAAATTGAAGGCCTATTTTCTCTCAAATGTATGTCTAAAATTCAATTCAATCTCTGTTTAAGAACCCTTTAAAATAATCTGTATTCTCAACACTAGCTTCAGATAACTACGAACCATACGTGGCAAAAATCTCTCATCATTTTGTATTCATTACGTAGATGGACAAACTATAAACAAGACTTCGAAACAGCAGCAGTTGCCACGGCGACATCCATGGAATGTTGATGCATGGGTGCACACAGACAGACAGACGTTACTTGCTTTTATAGATAGATGTTTTCTTGTTTTTGAATGTCATTGTCCTCTATCTTTGCTGAAATTTCAGAGCTCCACCTGTTTCTTTTTTGCAAGGAAAGAACAAGAACCAGGATGCTATGAACCAAAAAGCCAACCGTTCCACTCAGCTGGACTGATTTTATTGTGACGTTGAGAGTTGCTAATGCAGACTCCTGTAGCACCTTAACCTTACACAGGAATATCTGGGGTGATAAAAACCTGGTTAGCAGTTGCTTTGAGCGAAGAGATAGACCTGTTCTAGACCTGAGTTTGTCCTGTTCTTATGGTATGGTCTGGTGTTGATTCTACAGACTGCTGGACCCCGTGGTTCGACAGAGACGATCCTTCTGGTAAAGGAGACTATGAGACTATTTACCATCTGCGAAAGGAAAACCCTGGAAAGATCTGCGACAAACCTCGTGGCATGCAGGTCCAGACCATCTCAGGACTGCCAGCCTCCTCCACCGGGAACAGCTTTTACAAGTCAGTAGATGTTTACATTTACTTTTAGACTTTGTTTCTGGTTCTGCGATCTAAAGCCCTTTCCAATACACAATGTTGATCTTCTTACTCTGGCTGAGCATTACGCTATAAGTAACAATAACAATAATAGTTTTATACTGCGGTTTATGTACACACAGAGACGCTTCACAGCATTATTCATTCTCTACGTACTACTGTAGCCACGGCTGCCTTGGGGCACAATGACCAGTATTTGCCATCCACCCACCAACCACTCACACACACACCAGACTGATTCTAAGCAATGTAAAAAAGGAAACTTTACAGCCGCAGTCCCCAAACTGTAGCACCAGAGGTCTCCCATCACGGTACTACCCAGGCCCTGGTTAGTGCTGCAGGGTGTAGTAAGTAGTGTGTTCCAGTTGTACTCTCTAAGAAACCTTTGGCGACCGAGTTAGAAAATCCAAATGACAGCGCGTGTGTTTTTTTTTTTCAAGTTAAGATCAATTACTTCCAGTTATTTTCTCTTAAGTCGTTCTCCACTGTTTGTAATTATAATTATTTATTTATATTAATTTATTTATTTGACAGGGACATTGCAACTCAACATAGAACAAAACAAGCCTGTAACTGATGCGATGCAAAAAGAATTTATACCTATTGCTAATGTTCAACTACTACCTATTTTGCGCTTCAGCCGTTGAAGCTAAAAAATACAGATGCTAATGTTGCTAACTATAAACTTGGCTGCAGAGGGAACTGTAGCAGCTTAGCATGTAGCATGTAGCATGTTGTTGAAAATAACAAAACTTTTTTGCCAAAACAAAAAACCTTTTGTGTGTTTTTCCAGGAACGACCTAACCACAGGATTCATCTGTAGAAACAGAGACCAGAAGAAAGGTCGCTGTCTGGACTATAAGGTCCGCTTCTGGTGTCCCTGCGTACCAGGTGAGCGCCACAATGGACTGTGCAATACAAATACACTTTTTGCCATTTCTGTAAAAAACATAACAAAAATACAGATCTAAATTTGAAAAAGTTTGGAGATCTTTGATACAGTGTAGACCATAAGAATCACCTTTAAAACTCTGGTCCCATGTACTAAATACTACCTTGTTATGGTCGCAGAGTGCTGGACTCAGTGGTTCGACGTAGACGATCCCACCGGAACTGGAGACTGGGAAACTCTCACCTTCTTACGCCTTCATTATCCTGGAAAAATCTGTAAAAGTCCGCTGGAGATCGAGGCCCAGACCACGGCAGGAGTTCCAGCTGCTGCTACGGGACAGTACTTCTACAGGTAACGAGTAAAAGTGGTGCTACAATAGGACATGATGATTATTGATCCAAATCACAACTTGCATTATAAATACTAGGAAGTCACAAACGAGGTGCATTTAAGAATGACTGCTACACTGCCAAAAACTGTTCAAACAGGAAGTAATACATGTTTGAAGCCATTTGTTTTCATCTTAAATTAAGCACATTCTGACAAGATTCTCCAAACCTGTTTTAAGACTAGAACTTGCTTTAATTAAGATGCATTTAGCCACATTTGAGCAATTTCTGACTTATTTTTCATCACTTTTCCAGAGCATACACAAGTGCACTTAGAGGCTGAGCAGAATTTATACATTTAATAATATGAAGAACATGAATCGCAATATTTCGTAGAATAGAATCGTAATACTTTCTGTATCGCGATATGTTAAGAATCGCAATAATATTGA